TTCTTTTGAATGTACTTATTGTCCAATCAACCAAGTTTTTGTCAAGCTTGGCTCTCCCTTGCTGAATAGTCAAAGAGATAGTCAAAGAGAGATAGTCAAAGCTATCTCTGAAGGCAATTTTGAGAGAAGAAACAGAAAGGAAAACCCTTCTTCAACCTTTATGCGCAAACATTATTACACAAATGAAAAGAGAAACAATTATCTATTCACAGTGTTTCATAATTTTATTATAAATTTTATTATATGTTCTTCTAATGGAAAGGAAGCTTTACCTATTAGAAGAATAAACAGATTCTTTCTCTGGAGTTGTCTTCCTCAAACAGCACAGTAAGAGTGTAGTTGTTGACTTGTTTCAGATAACCCCTGCTGAACATACAGGTTCTTTAAGACTGAGCAAAATATTAACATTTTTTATGTTCTCAAGATGAATCTATTGAGCTCTTCTTGGGAGACAGTAAAAAGGGGGGGAAAGTGGGGGCAGGGGGCAAAAAAGGAATGTGATTTTGTCTCCCTCTTGAATCCTATTGGAGTAGAATGTCGTTGCAGAATATCGTGTACCTTTCACCCGCCTGGCACTACATGAATAGAACTGTGTCCTTGCCCACTGCAGAAGGCTGTCCTAGTGTTTCCAGGCCAGGTTATTTTGAGGAAGAATGTACTTTATAACACTCTCAGAACACTAGTGTCACTTAGGGTTTCCATTTCCAGAGTCATCCCCCGTCAGCTCTGGACTCATGTATCTACCTTTGGCTTAAGGAGGAGTTTGTCAGTCTTTCTGAGCACTGCTCCATCTCTCTGCTCACTAGTAAAGTAGGTAATGAATTAACAGATTGTGGAAATGGCACAGCTTATACCTGGACCACTTTAGTACATAATTATGACTTTCTATTTATTCCTAGAAGCTGGCATGTCTGTTACAACTTATTGAGACTTTGAGGGCTCAAAAAAAGAAGAGCTGCATTTGGCCGGGCTCTTAGAAGTTTTTGTGGAGGAAGCTGCATTTGATATGAGACTTAAAGAATGGGAACATTTGATACGGAATTGCTGGGTGAAGGGCTAATGAGATGGAGAGAGGGATCAATGCTTTGGGAATAGGAACAGGAAGATGTGTTCAGAGGATACTGATGGTACAGCTGGATTCAGTGATATTTCAGAACCCTGGCATCACTTGGAGGACTTTTTCTTCAAATACAGATATGCTGGGCCCCACCTCAGATCAAATTAATGGGAATGTTTTGTAGAGGAGCTGAAACCTCAGTGTTTTGTTTTTTATAAATCTCCCAAGATTATCCTAAAGTGCATACAGAGCTGAGAAACTCTGAGCCATGCAGGGCCTACAGACAGCCCTTGGAGACGTGCCTGAAGAGTAGGTGATTAAGGAACAATTTCTTTTTTTTAATGTCTTTTAAGGTATATGGCTTAATATTTTCCCTACTATAATAGTACTGCTATAATGACAGATTTTACATATAAAAGGCATAAACTAAATATATAAAAGGTATAAACTAAATATATAAAAGGTATAAACTAAATATATTAAAGGTATAAACAAAATTAAAATTTTGTTTGGGATGAATAAAAATATCATTATTAAATTATTAAATTTATTTAAAGATTTATCATGTACAGATAATTAAAGATGTACCATGTGCCGGACGCTGTCTCAGGTGATTTGTTTTGAGAATATTGCAAAAACATTGAAATCATGAGAGAAGTTCTAGAATGTGAGAAATCTACAGTTTTGAGAATTTACTGCTTTGATGCGGTAGGAAGAACACACATGTACATTTGAAGTCTGTGGGTTTTGAAAAATGAGAATATTTTAAAAGGATGGGGCATGTGGGGTATAAATTTGGATTGTAGCTTTGCCACTTATTAGGTGTTGTAGGCTGGCTATGCATCCCCTTTGAGCTGTATGATCACACTCTTAAACCCACAGATTTGCTCTGAGATTTGAGTGAAACCTCTGTAGAGCATCTGGTGAGGTGCCTCACCTAGCAGGAAAAAGTTAATTTTTATAGAGTGTACATATTCATTAAATTGAGTAAACCTCATTCTCGAGTTTACACCAAACTTTGTTCTTTTGTTAGGAGGCACGTGTTTTAATAGGTAGGCAGAAGCTAAACACTGCAGAGTCATCTATCCTTCACTGAGTTAGGCAAATTGAGACTGTATTTACCACAAATTCATCAGGTGCTTTAACTCAATACAACTGGGGAGGGAAAAGGCAGAATCCTCTTTGAGTACTTTGCAGGGACACAGCCTTGGACAAAAGCAGCAGGTACATGTATCTGTGCATGCTTTCTTTGACTATATCACTCATAAACTTCCTCCTGACTCTCAGTTTTCTGTGTCTGTAATGCTTTTACAGAACTATTGTGATGCTTCTCAGGTCAATTCTGAGCTCCTTTGAAGGTTCATCTTACACTAGATGACCTCAGAAATATCTAGTTTGACTGCATTCTTCAGTCTGTGAAAATAGTATCCTTTCTTAGTGACTAAAACTAGAGAATGTTTCCAGAATGAACAAAGATAAGGGGAGGAGCAGTTTAGGAGACTGACCTTCAGGGGAACCAGGAGGACTAGGTTGTTTATTCTGTTACTTGAGCCAGTTATTAATCAGCTCTGGAAGAGGAAATGGCAACCCCCTCAAGTATTGCCTAGAGAATCCCATGTACAGAGGAGCCTGGCAGGCTGCAGTCTGTGGAGTCCCAAAGAGATACAACTGAAGCAACTTAGCACCATTAATCAACTCATAAGATTTGAGGCAATAGACTGTTTTTTAGATTATCAGTTCCTGTTGGTTCAAAAGTCACTAAGATCTTTAGTGAGACAACATCTGAACATTTGATTCACATGTATGTTCAGAACATAGCACAACATGTTCTCAGCCCCTGGGCCACCAGGAAGACAGCCTCTCATGCTGTCTGGCATCTTTCTGAGACAAAACAGCCTTTATTTTCACACCTCAACTCATAAAGTGCATTTATTCTTATTTCCTTGAAAGAATTAAGAATTCAGCTTGGTAATAATGAAATTAAAAAATTGAAACCTCATCCCAGAACTGATGGTAAATAGAATCATATGAGATGACTCCACCTACTGGACAAAGTGGTGTACTCCTATCACCCATTATTAATAAATGAACCAAAGATGTGGGAGTTTCACTAAGGCACTGTGAAAATCAACTGGAGAAAAATAATTTCAGATGATTACTTGGTCATCACAGATGGAAAAGTAGAAAAGAAATTAGATAACTTATTTTATCTGTTACAGGGCAACCACTAAGGGAATTTCTTATTGCATTTTATGTTTTAAAAAATGTAGTAATTCCTGAAAGACCAAGATATACATTCACTGTTTATCAGAGTATTTCACAAATATTTGTTGATCTGATTGTGTCTGCACAGAATGTCAAGATTTTTTTGGTGGTTGCACCATGTAGCTTTTGGGATCTTAGTTCCCTGACCAAGGATTGAATCTGTGACCCCTGAAATGGAAGCATGGCATCCTAACCAACAGACTACCAGGGAACTCCCAGAATGTCAAGATATTTAATTAACTATATATCTGGAATTTAGATGGGGGAAATGAATGGCCTACGTAGAGTAGTATAGAAAAAAGTAATTTCTGAGAATAAATATGCTAATTATAAATTTGAAATCAGAGGACTTGAGTATTAACTATTATTAGATTTTAGTTAAGTAATTGGTTTCTATCCTACCTTATTTTGATTGGTGTTTGATTTATTTTACAAGTTAAATAGCTTTCTATGCCGCAGTTTCTTCATTTGCAAAATGAAGATATGTTAATACTCAAAAAAGGTTTACTAGATGGATGATTGTGTGCTCAGCACATTGATAAATATACACTGGAAACACACAGATCCTGATATCAGAGAACACACTCTTAAGAGGAAATACAGAAAGAAGTCATGCTAATATGAGGCAATATAAACAGCAATATACCCCAGCACATAGAATTATCAAGGAATGGTTGCCAGCTCAGCCCCAGAAGCAAGTGGAGTTAAACTCAAGGAAGACTTCTTGGAGGAAGGAAACTCTCAAGTAAAACTTAAAGGATGAGTGAGAAATAATAAACAAGGAAAGGAGGGTGGAGACCTTGGGATGCTCCAAGCTGAGACTACTAATGGATTCATAAGATGTCATTACAAGAGGGGCATTTGACAAAACGAAGGTTCTTGGGGCTCTTAGGGCGTATCAGTCTTAACTAAGTGTACAGAGTAGAATTGCAAAGAGACTATAATCTTGAAAAGTAACGTGGTAGAAGAAGCCTCAGAAGTGTCCCAGAGGGCCTGCCATGGGCCTTCTGGAAACTTGGTTCCCCTTTTACTGGTTGACAGCTGAAATCTTAGTTTCAACCTTCCAAGGAGCAAACACAATGCTTGGGCTTAATGTCAGGAAGGCCTGACCTCTTTACTGGAGTACGATTTTATTTATCAAGTAAGTCATGAAAAATACCATGTGGGCTCAATAAACATGAGACCAATGAAGTGGTTAGTACTGCCAAGTCACCTTCTAACCCAGAAGTGTTGTGAATGGAACACTGATTTCCAGAAATAGTATTCCAGAATCTGCTGTGGTTCTCTCTGTATTTTAATAATCAACATCTGCCTTTTACTTCAAATTTTTGTTATCTTCCTTGGTGATAGCTGTAGATTTTTGTTTTGCCTGTTTGGTTTGGTGACTGATAGAAAAAATTACTATTACAAAATCATTGCATTTTTGGTAAACTGTTTATTTTGTATTGGGGTTCAGCTGATTAACAATGTTGTGATGTTTCCAGGGGAACAGCGAAGGAACTCAGCCATACATATATGACAAAATCATTACATTTTTTAAACTAAGCATTTGAATTGTATAAAAATGGTTTATTTTTATATTTATTATAATTCCTTACCTGTTTGTTCATGGTTTCAAAAGAACTAGTTTCCCTTTAACCTTTAAAAGACCTGTAAAGACTTTATGTTTTCTTCACAGATACAGGCTAGTTCCAAAGGTTTATTTTCCTGAGCAAATTCACGATGTTGTACGTGCCACGAAGTACTTCCTCCAGCCAGAAGTCTTACACAAGTATTCAGTTGACCCAGGGAGAGTCGGCATTTCTGGTGACAGTGCTGGCGGGAATTTGGCAGCTGCCCTGGGCCAACAGGTAACAGAGATCCCTGAGGTGCGGGTGAAAGGAGGGTGCATGTTAATGTTCAGCAGACAGCACATGTCCACTGGGCATGGCGAAGGCCTCGCCGGGTAGGCTGGTTACTTGGGGTCCAGGTTACTAAGATGACTGCACTGGAAAGTTCTCAGAGATCTTTCTGAAGTAGGAAAATGGGTCACTGAAAGAAGTGTCATCTTTGAGTCCTTGGAAAGGCCCTGATTACAATTAATGAGAGAGGAGAGCTAGCATTTTAGCATCCTACCCTTGCCCCTCAGGGATATGCATGGAAATGAAGTATTCTCTGCTCCTTTTCCGTGTTGGACTTGAAAAACAGTATTTTTGCTTAAGTTTCAATTGCTAAGATTGTTTCCTTAAACTCAGAGCCAAATTTAAAAATTTTAAAGTGTTTGTTAATATAAAAGAAAAAGTTAAATGTTAACTTTTAAGTTAAGTGGTTCAGCCACTTTGAATGTTAAAATATATGTTAATCTGAGTTTTACTTCAGGGACTTCCCTGGTGGCTCAGATGGTAAAGTGTCTGCCTACAATGTGGGAGACCTGGGTTGAATCCCTGAGTTGGGAAGATCTCCTGGAGAAGGAAATGACAACCCACTCCAGTATCCTTGCCTGGAAAATCCCATGGACGGGGGAGCCTGCGGGGAGCCTGGTAGGCTACAGTCCATGGGGTCGTAAAGAGTCGGACATGACTGAGCGACTTCACTCACTCACTGAGTTTTACTTGGTTAAATTTTGTCTAGCTCTAATGGCATCCCAAATTTTGGGGAGCTGAGTAAATTCAAAGATAAGTACATTTTTCCCCCTCTTTTGGATTAAATAAGAAGAGCATTTCTATCTTCTTACCTCCAAATTTCTTTTGGCATTCTCAAATAGTATCTGCCTTTTCATTTGTGGTATGTCCTGATTTCTTCTCTTTTGCTGTAATTAAAGAACTTAGTTCTCCGCTTGGCACTGGTGGGTTTGCTATCCACATGTCCTGGTGCACTGGGGAGAGAATCATGGGCTTTAAAACCAGACAGAACTGGATGGAATCCAGGCCCCCTTAGGGGAGCTGCGTGGCTTTGGGCAAGTCTCAGGAAAATGAGGATCGTGCCATCTTAATGAAGGGCTGTTGCCAGGACTTAGTGAGATGATATATGTACAGTTCTTGGCATGTATTAAAAACTGCTTTTACAGAGCAATTACATCTTCCCTCTGGATAGGGTTCTAAAGTCTGTTGCGAAACAAAATTGTTTGGCTGAAGTTATCTTGAAGATTGTTTAGTAGCCTGTGAAACACAGTGACCTAGAGCTGCCTTTTAGATGTTATGTAAAAAATATATCATTTTAGACACTAGAATTACAAAATGAGGCAATCTATTTGCATTTCGGGGAGACCTGGGGGAATGGAGTTTTGCAGTGGTAGGGTTCAGTCACATTCCCATCTCAGTTGCACTCTCAGACACACACTCATGAAATACAATGGAAGGTGCACTGCCAGCATGATTGAAATTCCCTCCTTCTCACCAACTGTGAGGACTCTAGTCTCATCAGAGGAGAGACCCTGAGGTCCTATTAAGACTTTGGAGACCCATCATCTGTTCATTTAGCTTTGCATACCCATGTCCTCTGGAAGAGTCAGACTAGTTTTTTCTCCCCAGTAAGGCCCTGCCTTTTGGGGCCTTTCTTGGGAATACAAAACTATCCATCCATAACACCCAGCATGATGAGTATTATGCCAAAGGATAGATACAAAGAGTGTTGATGGGCGTTTAAAGACCTAAGAGATCATGTACTTTCGAAGTGTTCACTCAAAATTATGAGTTGCAAACATCACACCTTTCTTAGTAAATATCCAACAACTTGAATGGTGGTGGTGATGGTGGTGGCCATTCAAAGTGAAATGAAATAATGTGTTTGCTTTTTCTTCTCCAGTTTAATCAAGATACCAACCTAAAAAACAAGCTCAAAGTGCAAGCTTTAATTTATCCAGTTCTTCAAGCTTTAGATTTTAATACACCCTCTTATCAGCAAAATATGAACACCCCCATTCTGCCCCGGTATGTCATGGTGAAGTACTGGGTGGACTACTTCAATGGCAATTATGACTTTGTCCAGGCAATGATAGTCAACAATCACACGTCACTGGATGTGGATGAGGCTTCTTCCCTCAGGGCCCGTCTAAACTGGACATCCCTTTTGCCCACTTCCATCACAAAGAACTATAAGCCTGTCATGCAGACCACTGGCAACTCCAGGATTGTCCAGGAGATCCCTCAGCTGCTGGATGCCCGCTCGGCCCCACTCATCGCAGACCAGGAGGTCCTGCAGCACCTCCCAAAGACCTATATTCTGACCTGTGAGCACGATGTCCTAAGAGACGACGGAATCATGTATGCAAAGCGTTTGGAGAGTGCGGGTGTGGAGGTGACCCTGGATCACTTTGAGGATGGCTTCCACGGGTGCATGATTTTCACCAGTTGGCCGACCAACTTCTCAGTGGGAATTCGGACTAGGAATAGTTACATCAAGTGGCTGGATCAAAACCTGTGAAGGAGTGAGATTTCTGAAAAGCTCGAGCCCCTCCTGACCTCCTGCACCTGCTTTGGAAAGACATTGGCTCTTTAGTCTACTAATTTCCTCTCATTGCTTATGAATTATGGAATCTCTATTCCCTGCAGACTTCATGTTAATTTAATTTTAAGAAATGCTTTTGAGTAACTTAAGTGCAAAAACATCCGAATCTGATTCTCTAAGTGGGCCAGTCTCTCTGTTCATGTTTTAATCAAATTACTACTAATGCCCACAGCTATAGACAGCAGGGTTAGGAGCTGGAATTAGGCTTGGGTATTGACTCCATCAAGTTCTTTTTAGAAGAAATTCTACCCACTGTGGATGACCTTTAATGAGAAAAGAAAATGTGGGCTCTTCTTCAACTTCCTAGAGTTTACTTTGAGTTCAGAGCAGTGTTAAATATGGGTACTTCAAGGTCAGTGCTGGGTACCAAATGCCCTGTTCTTTTTGGATGGGTGGCTTTGTTTCCTATGGGAATTTTGGCAAAGCTGTTCTGGCAAGGACAAGTTTCTCAAATGACTTTCTTCCTTTACAGTGCTAATTTATATGATAGCTATCTATAAGTCCAGTTGGATTATGATAATACTTGAAAGTTACTTTCTACCACTATCTAGAAAATATGAGGTTGCATGCACTGGATATCTGCACACCATAGTTTTTTGGTTATGCCATCTCCCTGGGGGAGATCTTCTGGGAGCAAATTTATTTAGATTTAGAATAAATGTTCCTTTACAAAACAGGTAAAAATAGACAAGTGAACAAACCCAATGTTTTCATAATGGCTACATCTGCTACATCTGACATAAGTTACTAAGAATAGTGTGTATATATTTGGCATAGTCAGAGAAGAAGATACATTTAATATTAAAGTTAGGAAAAATGCCTTTAAAGGGTCTAGTTTATTCTGGAAAACTCAACCTTTTCACTTGTGTAGCTTTAAAATGGGGCTATTTTGGTATATATAATGTATCATTTATTTTTTTAAGTTATTTAATGTTAATATACATAGCTAGACAAGATTTTTCAGGATAAAGTCAGTAAAGAATATTAAAGATAATTATGTTTTTTTTTAAAAAAAACTACCTTAAGTTTTAAAAAAGTGACTTTAAAATTATATCCACAAATAATTTTATGGAAAGAGGTAAAATAGCTATTAATATTATTATATATTGAATATAAGGCCTAAATATTTTGATGTTTATATGCATAACAAATTAAAATAATTAGACACTATGATTACACCTAGTAAAGTCACCTAAGTTCATAGTTCAGTAACTTAGATGAGATATACACTGGTCATTTCTGCTGTCTGTGGTTGGAGGAGCTACTTCATACTCTTGTGGTGATACCCTTCATTATCACCTTCCAGCTAGGTCTGAAGTTACAACAGACCAAGTTTCATTTCATGTGAAGCCTTCACTGCCAGTGGGACATCTTTGGCACAGAAAGAAGCTCCAATTCTGATTCAACTTGACTATGTTTTTGCTCCTTCCTGCCACTCTTCCTACTGCTCCAATCTGTGCTTCTTTCGGGCACTGCAGAAAGCAGACATACAGCCAAGCCTTGATATAGTAAATTCACCAGTGGAAAGAAAGTAGAACCTTTTTATTCATTTGGAAGATAGGTATTTCCTACTTATGAGGATGAAATAACAAATAAGAATCTGCATATTTATTGTTCATTTATTATTTAAATTATGAGCATTTTATGTACGGAAGTAAATGCAACAGTGAGTATATGTGTGTGTGCCTATGTGTGTATAAAAATAATCATACAGATTAACCTGCTAATGGACTGAGGCAAGTCACTTACCGTCTCTGGGCCTTTTATGCCTGTCCTCTAAAATCAGAGAATTGAACTTTATAAGGTATCTTCCAATTATACATTCCAATCATTTTGTCAGACTGGCAAATTGTATTGGCTTCTTCTTCAACAGTTTTGTAGGTCATTATTCCATATACACAGACATATGCAGGATCAATTTTTTTTTCCATAAAAAACTTGGACTTTAGTTCTTATTCTATGATAGCTAACCTCATTTAATACTATTCCTTTTTACATCATTTGAAGGAACCAATGTTTGGATCTTATTTTGAGGTTATCCATCTCTAGGGAAACAAAGAAAATATAATACATGCACAAAATTCCTTAAAATGGCATTTCCCCCCAAAGTTGTGACCCAAATTTTGTAGTAACTATAGGCAATAAATCTAGCCCTTCTAGATCTCTGAAGGACTCTCTCAGATGAAAAGAGAGAGTGAAAGAAAAAGGGGGCCAAGCACTGTTTCTGATGAAGCATCTCGAGTTTCATTAAAGCTTATATTGGGAATTCCATGGTGGTCCAATGGTTAAAATTTGGCCTTTTCACTGCCATGGCCTGGGTTTGATCTCTGGTTGGGGAACTAAGATCCTGCAAGCCATGTGATGAGGTCAAAAATAAATAAAGCCTTTATGTATGTGATAATGTATCCCACCTTGCTTGAAGGTCTTCCTTGAAATTTTCTTTGGAATAATAATTGGGAATCATGATACACAAGAACCACTAGATGCAAGAGAGGCTTATTGTTGTTTAGTCGCTAAGTCATGTCCAGCTCTTGTTGTGACCCCATGGACTATAGCCCACCAGGCTCCTCTGTCCATGGGATTTCCCAGTCAGCAATACTGGAGTGGGTAACCATTTCCTCCAGGGGATCTTCCTGACCCAGGGATTGAACCCACATCTCCTGCACTGACAGGGGGATTCTTTACCACTAAGCCACCAGGGAAGCCCACAAGAGAGGCTAAACCAACCAAAATCTGAGTGCAAAGAATTCCTTTGGGAAGCACACAGAGTTTATGTTGAAGCTTTTTTGGTTTGAATGAGTTTATTTTAGGTTTTGTTCTTATAAAAAAAAGTTGATGCTCCGCAAATTGATTTTTTAAAGTGTTATGGCTTTGTTTTCCCATTTTAAGAAAAGAAGTGGACAGTCTTTTTATAATGTTGTTTGTGAAATGTGGACATAAATATATGATGAAAAAAATCTTAAAGTGCCACAAAATATAGTGAAGTATAAGTTAGTTAATCTTTTATCATTGATTTGTGAAGAAGTTAAAAGACTTGTATAATTATATTTGGGAATATAATATTTTGTGCATGATCTTTTAACCTTTGACTTTTTGCTTATTTCTCACTGCAAAGGGGAAGGCAGCTTTTATGAAGGATTTTGGTAGCCAATTTATTTTGTAAGATGAAAATCCACTGTGGAGGTAGGAAGGTATAAATCTGTTTTGATTCATGTTTGTAAATAAACTGTCTCTGTCTGGGAATGTGCCTCTTTCATGTCCCCTCATTCATTTTCTGCTTCCCATCTCCCTTTCTCTCCATATCCCAGGTCCCTAGCCACAGTGCTGCGCAAATCTTTGCCCCCTGGACTCCTCCAGCTCCCTTTCAATTACTGAGAAGGGCTCAGAGGCCTCCTTCATGGCATTCATTTCATGTCTGGATACAGTATGTGCTGCTCATGCTGGAAAACCTGCCTTGAACTGGCTAGAATATTCATAAAAACTGGGCAGACCCTGCAACCATCTCAGGACTTTCAATACACATTAGGGGTGTATCACAGTGCATATGAATTTGTATTTGAACAAGTTCAACCAAAGAAGTATTGATACCACAGAAGGCAAGTTTTCACACTAACCCTGACATTACAAGCAAAGCTAATAATTTCACGACTGAGTTTGTTATGCTCAGTTTAATTCAATGTCATAGGAATTAACAAAAATTTTTTTCAGAATAAATTGTTTGATTTGGTTCTAAATGGTCACATATGTGTGGGTAAATTTAGTTCTAAATGATCACATACGTGTGGGTAAATTAGATTTTCCTATTCAATTAGAGTTATTTTCATCTTCTCCACCAAAACTTCTGGTAGGTGGCTATATTTTGCTGGTGGGATCCACAAATGGTTCCAACAGTTCTCCTTTGGGGCATTTAAAATGCACTGTATGTGTTTTAGTATTGCTTTTTCATGTGATCTTTCTTTTTTAATCCCCCATTTAAAAAAATCTCATATTTTCCAACAGATCCCTTATTTAAATATCTAGGAGATACTGATATTAGCACAATATTCCCATGATTTCAGAGGTTGGAAATGTAAATATTATTTATAGTAGGCATACATGTATTGCTCAGCCCTGTCACTCAGCACCAGCATTTTGTCATTAGAGAGAGAGGCTGGTGACATTTTGTGTCTTGTTTGGAATGTTCCTCCCAGATTTTTCAGATTGAGAGCTCCATCTTCTCACATAGACTTTCTACCCAGACTAGCTATTTGTTACTGTTTTTCTTTCATATGAGTAGAGTTTTCCAGCTGCTACTTGACATGCAATGGTTTAATATATGGACTGTGGAGGCAAATATGAGAATCCAGATGGCTCCCGTTAGGCCAGACATTAAAAAGTTTTGTAAACACGTAAAACAATGCCACACTTCTCACTCGTTTTGTGTTTAGAAAATTTAGTAACTTTCCCCCCCCATAGTATATAGCTTAAGGTAACATGTAATAACTAAGTACATTATTAACTATTGAGTTAGCCAGAAATTTTGTTTAAGATGTGATGGAAAAACATAAATTAATTTTTAGCTAATCCAATATGTTTAAAACTTCTCAGTTTTAATTTTTAATACAATAAATATCAATCAAGTTCATATGAACAGCTATTTGGGGCCCTCAATATTTTTCATAAATATAAGAAAATTATGAGACCAAAAGAGCTGAGAAGTGCTGTCATATAGCATCACCTCTTGGCAAGCCCTGTATATGGTGCTAGACTGCAGTCAGCCAACACCAATGCGCAGTTTTGCACGCACACGTTTCTCTTACCTAGTACCCTTCACTTGCCCTTGCCCATCCTTGTCTTCCTTTGCCAGTCTGCTCCAGGAAGCCTGTCCTAACTCCCCTCTCCTTGGGATTTTTAGAGGTCTCTCCTCTGCCCCATAT